GATAAACAACAAGGTCCTACTGTATAGCACAGGGAACTATATTCAATATCCTGTAATTAAACCATAATGGAAAAGAATATGAAAAAGAATATATATATATATTCATATATATACACACATATATATATATATCGGAATCATTTTTGTTGTACACCAGAAACTAACACAACATTGTAAATCAACTATACTGCAATAAAAAAAAAAAGAAGCAGAGAAGACAGACACTCCTCCATCTCTGGCACGTTGGTCTTGGCACTGAACACACTCTGCCTCAGTGCGCTGATCTGCGTACATCTATTCCTCGCTCCCTCCGTGCCTCCCACCATCTATTAGGTACATCGCTATGCTGGGTCCTGAGAACACAGCAGTGAGACAGGTATAGTTCCTGCCCATGCTGCTTACGGTCTAATGGAAATCCAGACTATCACTAACAAAAGTAAGAACGTTATAGTATTACATTAGCAAGACATGGAAACAACAGTCCATCGACAGATGAACGGATAAAGAAAATGTGGTGTGTATGTGTGTACACACACACACACACACACACAATGGAATAATACTCAGCCATAAAAAATGAAATAATACCATTTGCAGCTACACGGATGGACCTAGAGATTATCATACTAAGTGAAGCAAGTCAAAGACATATATGATATCACTTACTTGTGGAATCTAAAATACGACACAAATGAACTTATCTACGAAAGAGAAACAGACTCACAGATATAGAGGACAGATCTGTGGTTGCCAAGGGTGTGAGGGGGCAGGAGAGGGTTGGATTGGGAGTTTGGGATTAGCAGATGCAAGCTATTATCTATAGGATGGATAAACAACAAGGTCCTACTGTATAGCACAGGGAACTATATTCAATATCCTGTAATAAACCATAATGGAAAAAGAATATGTAAAAGAATGTATATACATGTATAACGGAATCACTTTGCTGTACACTGGAAACTAACACAACACTGTAAATCAACTATACGTCAGTAAAAAAGAATGTTACATTATTATATATGCAATACTGACTTAATACTCCTGACTAGACATTTATTATGAGATCGACACTGCACTTAAGCACTTTATATTCATTATCTCATTGGATCCTCTCAAGTATCTGTAAAGTAGGTGAAATTAGCCTACATCAGGGATGAGGAAACTGAGCCTCAGAGGTTAAGTAACTGCCCGAGGGGACACTGCTGGACCCCAACCCACGCTGTCTGATTCTAGCCTGTCCTTATAACCACACCTATACTGCTTCTCTTAAAAAATTATAACAGAGTAATCGCTGCTCTGATAGGAGGAGGACAGAGGGCAGGGTTTACTGATAGAATCCAAGGCAGTCCCGGGGTTGGGAGAGAGGATAACTTGACCCATCCCCTACAGGGTGGTAAGTTTCCTACAGGCAGGGAGCCAGCCTCGCTTATGCTTATGGAAGTGAGTGTCCCTGACAGTGGTTCAGAGGGTGCTCTGCATACAGTAGGTACTTAATACATGCCTGCTGAATTGTTCTGGAGAGTCCAGAGATGTTAGTTACTTATACAAAATTTTATAAGATGTTTAGGTAGAAAAGCCAAATAAACAGATGCTATAAAAAACATTTTCCAGTATTTCCTTAATTAGTCCTTTTCCTTCTCACTTTTTTTTTTTGCAGGGGAGCGGGTCTATCTTTTCTGATCTTTGGGAGAGCTACATAATGAGGTCACTGACACAAGTAGAATTCAAGTTTCTACTGCTGTGTCTGGGACCCAGGAGCCATGTCGAAAGGGTCTGTAGAATCCATGCACGCATCTGGACACCAGCTCTAATTCCATTTCACAGAACATCCACAAAAATCCCCAGGCCAGTCCTACTGCTGGGCCATTTTCTAAATTTCAGAGTCAAGCTGACATGGAACCATTCTAATTACTTGAACGAAGGGCCTGTGATGCTTTCCACATGATCCCGCTCACATCACAAATGGGGGAAAATGGAATAAAAGAAATAACCTTCTGACTTAAAATTGCTTTCACGGCGTCCTCCACCCCCTCCTGATTATCGAGGTCAACAGTCCAGACGTGTGGCTGGCCGATGAACACTTCGGCATAAGGATGCTGGGAGGTCAGCTGGAAAAGAGAAAACAGAACACCTCAGTCTCACAAACACTGGCTTTTTTCATTTCTCAACCTTCTGTGCTAGGTGAAGCGTTATGCTTTTTATGGTTCCGAGTTGTACTTGTGTAGGTAATGTCATTTTTTGTTTTGGACCCTTGACGATCGAAACCTCCTAAGCACCTCGTAAGCAGGTAACAATAAAAGAGGGAGGATTCCACAGCTTTCTTTCTTTCTTTTTTGCTTTGACCAGAACATCTACTGTCAGGACCATCTGGAGAAGCAGGCACAGCCCTGACGGGTACAGGTAAGGACACCGAGGCTGTCAAGTGTGCCCGGCTGGCAACACTGGCAGTGCCCATGGGTGCCCATCAGGCTCATGTGGGATGTTTTAAAAGACACACGGCCAGGCTATGCTGTCTTAGACCCTTGGAGCTGGGATCTTGGGCACTTTGGAGGGGTTCCTGAGAGTCTAGGGGTCCCAGGAGGGCATGGCCCTGTGTGAGACCACGGCATCCACAGGGCAGGTCCGGTGATGGCTCCTCACCTTGAGTACCACTTTGAAAAAAGAGTTAAAATGTCATAACCAGGTGATATGGAGGCTGTTACAGATGGCTTCAACCCCCCAAATCACACCAAGAAATAATGAATATTTACCCTCAGTCATATCCCAGCCCTGAAAATCACCTAGATCAAACTAGCATCTGTTATAAAATACTGGTTGGGATAGACAGGTAAGTATAAGGAAATTACAATAAAGTTCTCATAGGCTTTAAAGTCATAGAAGGACACGTAATGGCACATATGAAAGGTGACAGAAAGGGAAATAATGCTACCAGAAAAAGAGAGAATTCTGGAATAATAATTAGCATAACACTGGAGCCTTAAGAATCATAAAGGCAATGTGTGATCAGAAAAGCAAGGAAAAGTAGCTTTTGTTTTAAAGGAGGTTTTATTTTAAAAACAAAGGGTGGACAAAGAAACCCACAGGAATATTGGCAATTCTCAGTTCTTGAAGAATCCGTTTTTTAAAGATAGCTAAATTTACCCCTCAAACTTGTTCCCACCTTTATTCTTGTATCTTTTTAAGGCTGTGGTATAAAGAAAGCATTCTGGTGCACTTTCAGTTCTCAAAGTTGGCAGGTGCTGCCCCAACCCGTGGCTGAGGACCAGGGATGCCAGACGCCTTGAGATGTGTGTGACCGTCCTGCACAGGGCAGAACTGTCCACTCCCCACAGGCCTTCACATGCCCCGCCAAGCTCTCAGGTGGGTTCACAGAATCTGCCTCTTTGGCACAGTCTGAATATACATTGAGTTTTCCAGGAACATAACTGCCATGTAAATCAAGGGACATTTTATTGGGAATTTCACCAATAAGCCATTATCATTTCAGAAAAATGATGGCAGCAAAGTCAATGCCACGCAGAGGATCTGGGTCTCCAGTACAACATACCCAAACCAGTCTGTATTTGAAACTGTCACAGTAATGCCAATGGAGTATATCTGTGTGTCTACATGTAGGCACCTTTTTATTTAGCTTCTCTTTCTTTAATGTCAATTATAAGTAAAAAGGGCTGACCAGATTCAGCTCAATGTTTTCTTCTTCTTCTTTTTTTTTTTTTTTGAGGTACGTGGGCCTCTCACTGTTGTGGCCTCTCCCGTTGCGGAGCACAGGCTCCGGACGCGCAGGCTCAGCGGCCATGGCTCACGGGCCCAGCCACTCCGCGGCATGTGGGATCCTCCCAGACCGGGGCACGAACCCATGTCCCCTGCATCGGCAGGCGGACCCTCAACCACTATGCCACCAGGGAAGCCTTATTCTTCTTAAATGCAAACATATTCACTGTAAGGAGGAATGAGACACGATGATGCCTTCTAGTGTGGTTCATGGGTATGATACAGTATTTCTGGACTACATATACACAAAATATCTATTACCTTATAGCAAAGTATGTTCCTTTTACTTCTCTTTCATATTAGAGTTAGAGAATCATTCTTTGTGTGTGTGTGATAATCGCATTTCTCTTTGATTTTATTTAGATTAAACTTGCAATTGAATAGATTTTTTTGACATCTTTATTGCAGTATAATTGCTTTACAATGGTGTGTTAGTTTCTGCTGTATAACAGAGTGAATCAGTTATACATATACATACATCCCCATATCTCTTCCCTCTTGCGTCTCCCTCCCTCCCACCCTCCCTATCCCACCCCTCTAGGTGGTCACAGAGCACGGAGCTGACCTCCCTGTGCTACGCGGCTGCTTCCCACTAGCTATCTATTCTACATTTGGTAGTGCATATATGTCCATGTCATTCTCTCACTTTGTCACAGCTTATCCTTCCCCCTCCCCAGGTCCTCAAGTCCATTCTCTAGTAGGTCCGTGTTTTTATTCCCGTCTTACCCCTAGGTTCTTCATGACCTTTTTTTTTTTCTTAGATTCCATATATATGTGTCAGCATACGGTATTTGTCTTTCTCTTTCTGACTTACTTCACTCTGTATGATGTTAGCAGGGTATATTTTTCATTTCAGGAGTGAAAAGTAGATGTTATAATACACTTAGAATAACAGAAGTTTTGGGTCTGGAAGGGTTGAGGCCAAGCTGGTTCTCTTTTTTTCCTTCAGATCCCAATATGCTCAGAGGACTGGGTGATTCAACTGGCACCTCTGCAGCTCGCTCTTGGCCACCGTTCTTCGTGTCTTACCACACCAATGGTGTGCATGCATTATTCAGGGGGGAAACCCAGAAGATAAATTACTGGGCCTCCACTCTGAGCCTTCTCTGGCCCCCACCGTGGAAATCAGGCCATTCGGAGGTGCAGGTATCCTAGACTTTGCTCCTGCCTCTTCTGCCAGAGTCACGCCCCTCGCCAGCCTGCAGCTCCCCGTGCTTCTGACATATACCCTTTTTCTTTTGCTCAGCTGCGTGGTCAGGGATAGAAGAAGAGTGCCCGCAGGCTCCTGGAGCTGGGGGAGCATCCTTTTCTTTTTCTCAGCACGTATTTTAGATTGAGCACGCATCCGTGAGGCCCCTCGGTTGGGGCAGGCACTGGGCTAATCACCTGAGCAGACATTATTTATCAGGTTTCCTGTGCATTGATGAGGATTCTGAGGGTTAGAGGGGCTTACAACTCCCCAAGACCACATAGCTAGAAAGCAGCAGAGCAAATTCAAATCTAGATCCTTCAACAACTTTTTACCTTTTGACAAAAACGGAAGATGACAATTTTAAAGGATGCTCTTGAGTTCTTAAGACAATGACCAAAAGGAGCTCAATGGAAACACCAGCCTTTTCATCACTTGCTTAAAACCAGCTAACCTAAAACAAAATCCCAGGACTGAATGTATGTCTGCATTAGACCTTTCCTGAAGCTGAGTGAAGTGTCACACCATTTTCATTTTGTGGCCTGGAGAACAAACTAATTAATTCTTCCAACTGAATCAGGGTAAATGAAAGTTGCCATCAGTGTCACTATTTAGCAGTCTCTCTCCCCTCTGCCTTTTAAGGTCCCTGCTCATTTACAAGGTTGCTCTAAGCACTTGGAAAATACAAGATGCTGAGCCATTATCATTTTGTTCATTTACATTTATGGAGGGTTACTTAATTTTATGAGTAAGGCGTTTTGTGATTCATTATTCCCCCTCTGAATGTTCCATTCGTCCTTGTTAATTTATTGAGAACCGTATGATCTGAGCTATCGTATATCAATCAGTATATTTACTGGAGTGTAGTCTGTAAAAGTAATGAAAATCTTATTAAATATAAGACGTTATTTCAGAGCGGCTGTTAAATCTCCAAGAAGAACACAAGTTCTCTTTATGGAAAAGGAAACCCTGGAGTCAGAGACTTTCTAATGGTTTACAAAATGTCAGAATAATGATTAAGAGCCGGGCTTCCCTGGTGGCACAGTGGTTGAGAGTCCGCCTGCCGATGCAGGGGACACAGGTTCGTGCCCTGGTCCGGGAAGATCCCACATGCCGAGGAGCGGCTGGGCCCGTGAGCCATGGCCGCTGAGCCTGCGCGTCCGGAGCCTGTGCTCTGCAATGGAAGAGGCCACAGCAGTGAGAGGCCCGCGTACCGCAAAAAAAAAAGAACCTACTAATATGTTTCCCAATATAAAGAGAGAAATCCAAATTATATTACGTTTAAAGTGTAACTTGAACCAACAACATGATACTTAAGGCATATGGAACTTCTCTTTTGTGTACACTGTGGTTTTAAAAATGGGTCCAATGCAAAAATAAAAACAAAGCTTTTTGTTTTCTAAATACAAAGAAAAACTTAGACTTCTCTTCAAATGAAGGCAAAGAAGAGACACAGATGCAATTTATATGGACCTATTTGCATGGATCTACTGTTGCTCAGCTCAAAAGATTAGCAAGGGCACAAAAAGATAGCTACGTAATTATATACGCTTTGGTTAAAACTCTTCTACTTGCTGAGGAAAAAAAAAAAAAGGATACTTCCTAGGGATTCTTGACCCTTAGAAATCTGTACAAGTGTTGATAGCTCTTTCCCAATTAAAAGCATCTTTGATCAGGGGGATTCTGTGAGCTGAAAGAGCACAGTGGGGCGGCCCACCTGCCCGTGAGGTCAGGTTCACTGGCTCCCCTCAAAGCTGTGTCATGTCACTGGCTATCAGCCTGCTCTCTGCACCGTCTCCAGCAGAGAAAGAAATGGACATCAGATGGAACCTGCCCTCCTGCATAAAGTAAAGTGACCTGCTTGGGGTTTCCCTCCAACGCATCAACATTCATGCTTCTCCAACTCAAAACCCGACTCTTCTTTTCCTCTAAAGCATAGCTCCCCCACTATCCCCTTCTAGCTAACCCAGCACATCCTCCACCGGGCACCACTCCAAGTTAACTTCCCCTGCTTAATGTACTCAGCTCTTTCCTTATGCATGCCCGTTGATTAGGCATCGCTCTTATCACACTTCCATATCAAAATCTGAGCTCCTGGGAAACAGGAAATGTGTCTTGATAAGTTCCCCCAATGCAGTGACTTAGTACCACAGGCCCTGTGGGGATACACTGAACATCTGTCAGCTGACCTCTGCATCCCAGCCCTCCCACAAGAGCCCAGGACTGATGGAGTCACTTGTGGGAGGTCACTTGCTGAGCAGCTGTTGAAAGCCTCCCCCAGTGCCATTCTAACTGGAGTCTCATTCCAGCACTGGTGGGACCATCTGAAAGGACAGGAGGAACCAAATGCCTGGGCGGCAGCTCCAACACCTATTCCCTTTTGATGCCATGAAGAATGAAAACCCTCTATCACCTCAACAAAAAGCAAATTACTAAAGAATCACAACCGACAGCATGAACATACTTTTCTCAACAATTTCATACTGGCTGATCTGATCTATGTAACATTACATCATTCACTGGGAAAGGGTTAGATTGTGTTTAAGAGGGTCTTAAATTTTTTTCAGGAAAAAGTACTCAGTTGTAATACAGTGTTATCAAAATCTTCAGAATTATCAAAATTGAAATTATTATCTAATTCTAGTGATCAAGAAGGTACCAAGTCAGTCCAAAATACTTTTGATGAATCATTTCCCAAAGTCTTGTATATAGAAACTGCAATAAGAAAACTGATGGGTTTCTTTGCTTTTCATGCATTAGTAAGTCAGACAGAGAAAGGCAAATACCATGTGATATCACTTATATGTGGAATCTAAAAAAATGATACAAATGAACTTATTTACAAAACAGAAAAAGACTCATAGACATAGAAAACAAACTTATGGTTACCGAAGGGGAAAGGGTGGGGTAGGGGGAGGGATAAATTAGAAATTTGGGAATAATGTACACATACTACTATATATAAAATGGATAAAAAAACAAGGACCTACTGTATAGCACAGAGAACTATACTCAATATTTTGTAATAACCTATATGGGAAAAGAATCTGAAAAAGAAAAAATATATATATGAAACTGAATCACTTTGCTGTACACCTGAAAGTAATACAACATTGTAAATCAACTATACTTCAATAAAAAATCATTTTTAAAGAGACCTTAGCACACAGTAAGTGCTCCAATAAATGTTAACTAAGATGGTTATTATCATGGGAAACCAGAAAAAAAAATCATGAGGGAAAAATCATCATTAGAGTATCACTGTAACAATGGTTGCAAGAAAGATCCACTGATACATGGTAAAAATAAATGGGCAAAAGTTGGAGGAGAACAAGGGTATTTGCATGGTCTCAAAGTACTTCCCCCAATATAGAGAAAAACAGTAACTTTATGGTGGAGAAACCTGGCAAACACGACCTTAACCAAGTGATCAAGGTTACATCACCAAGTAATAAGACATTGGTATCACGCACCCCCTGACATGATACACTGAGGCCACATGACTTCTGGGGGATTCTTGCCAAAAATGTGTAACCTCAAACTAATCAGGAGAAAACACCAGTCAAATCCAAATGGAGGGACAGTGTACAGAACAACTGACTGGTACTCTTTCAAAATGTCAAGGTCATGAATGACAGTGAAAGACTGAAGAATTGGCACAGATTGGAGGAGACTAAAGAGACATGACAGGTAAAGGCCATGTGGGAGCCTGGACCAGAAAAAGGATGTTAGTGGAAAAACTGGTGAAATCCAAATAAAGTCTGTAGTTTAGAAAATATTACGGTACCAATGTTAACTTCTTGGTTTTGACAATTACGCTGTGGTTTTATAATATGTTACCATTAGCGGAAGCTGCGTGAAGCATATAACCAAACTTTGCAATCTTTTTGCAGCTTTTCTTTAAGACTAATATTATTTCAAAATAAATAAAAAGCAAGTTCCAGCAATTCCACTCATAGGTATATATACCACAAAGAATTGAAAGCAAGGACTCAAACAGATACTTGTACACCCATGTTTGCAGCAGCAATTTTCGTAATAGACAAGAAATGGAAACAATCCAAGTGTTGATGAACAGAGGAACGGATAAACAAAATGTGGGCTATTCATACAATGAAATATTATTCAGCCTTAAAAAGGAAACATTGTGACACATGTAACAACATGAACGAACCTTGAAAACATGCTTAGTGAAATTATCTGGTCACGAACACTGTACGATGACACTTACATTAGGCACCTAGAATAGGTAAATTTCTATAGACAGGAAGTAGAGTAATGGTTACTCTTCTATTCAGGGCCGGAGCAGGGGAGAACGGAGAGTTACTGTTAATGTACAGAGCTTCTGTTTGGAACAATAAATCTATGAGAGTGGACAGTGGTGATGATTGCACAACATCGCAAATGTACTGAATGCCAGTGAACTGTACACTCAAAAAAGGTTAAAATCATCGTTTCTCACTGTGTATAATTTATCACAAAAAAACATCGAAAATTACAAATAATTATCCAATTTAGGCAGATGTAGAACTTCAGGGATTTCCTACTTTCAAACGTAACACAGGAATGATTTATTATCCCACATTTCCTACCCAGAGCTCCGAAGTTTCAAAGTCAGTCGCACACTAAAGCACAGATGCCTAAGTTGAGGCATTCTCACTGCTGGGGAGCATCCTTTCAAACCTTTGCAAAGAGTAAGTTCTTGGGTACCAGACTGAAGGTTCCTGATCTGTGTTCTGGTACCTGCCCCACAGCACAGGAAGTCCAAACACTGTGTGCATTAAGTGTTGCTGAGGAATGACCCCCCGCCCCCCCAAAATGAAGAACTCAAATTTACAATACCAGCAGAAGGAAAAAGCAAGCGTGCACGCACGCACACACGCACACGCCTCGTTAACCTTTGTCAGAGGTTATCTGGGCCATAGGTTCATCTTTTTCAGGATAATCTGCGGTCCTGCTGATCTTCCATCTCCTTCGGCCCTTTCACCAGTGATGGGGAGGGTCAAAGCAAAGAGCTCTCAGAATGACCAACTCTATTAACTAACTGTAAGTTCTCTGACTGAAAGGTAAAGAATAATCACGGAAAATGTGTTTTATATACTATTTGGGGAAGGGGCGAATGGGGTCAGGAGAACTGACCCAGAAAGGTTTAAAAGTAGCAGAGGCGGGCTTCCCTGGTGGCGCAGCGGTTGAGAGTCCGCCTGCCGATGCAGGGGACGCGGGTTCGTGCCCCGGTCTGGGAAGATCCCACATGCCGCGGAGCGGCTGGGCCCGTAAGCCATGGCTGCTGGGCCTGCGCGTCCGGAGCCTGTGCTCCGCAACGGGAGAGGCCACAACAGCGAGAGGCCCGCGTACCGCAAAAAAAAAAAAAAAGTAGCAGAGGTGAAAAATGTATGCTTTAGAAACATGTCCCGGGAGGGCTGCCCAGCAGTGTCCTCCCCAGTAGACGGGCCCAAATGACAAGGGCACTGGGACAAATCGACACTTAGAGGCTTCCTCCTTGAAAGCAGCCTGGAGAGCCACTTACGAACTGTGCAGAAATAAATAAGAAATAATAAGAAATCAATCTTATAGGTTCTTGCACATACGTGTTTCTAACCAGATATAGAAACACCCAGCCTGGTCACTCACATGCTCTAAATGGCTTTGGTTTATGGTCCCAAATAGAATCCAACTGCCTTCAATGGTGATTCATCACCCACTGTGGATTTTCAAGAGGACCTCCAAAGGCAATCCAAATAAGGCTTCTGCAAATGGTTCGAGCGATGGCAGGATTGCTTCTCAGGATGGCACCCTGCTGACAGTCGGCTAAAATACCAGGCATACTATTCAGTCACTCCGATACGTCTTTCTTCTCAAGGATGATGATTCTTCAAGGAAGGAGCCCACGGCCCACTTTTTATTCCCCAAAGCTCCTCACAGAGAGTAGGTTCTTTAAAAATACCTGTTAACCCCTGGATTTTCTTTTTATTCCATAAACTCTAATCATCCACGAAATCAGAGTTCAGCTAATTGGAAGACCGGCGATATCTGTTCAAATTAGGATGGAGATGGGGTAGGGCGAAAAGACCCTGTACTTTGTAGAACGGAAATAGATCAAAATCCTGGCTCTGCCACTACCTAGTGAGGGGATGTAATCAAGTCATCCATCTCTCTGAGCCCCTGCACACCCTCCCCCTTCCACCCAACTACGTGAAATGAAGTTGACAATACCTACCGTCCAAGGCTCTGAGGTTCAAATGGGCTCCTACCACTCAAAAAATAGCTACCATTCCTATGAGTGAAAGTAGAATGAGTTTTATAGATGCTTACCTCTCTCAGAGTTGGCTTGCCAATGAAAAAGTCTGTGTTTTTGCTGCTTTTGGGTGGGCTGAACTTGGGATTCAGAAAAGCACATCCATTTGCGATGGCCTCCAAGGGAGCCGGGCCTTCATAAGGGAACCCGAGTCCAACAAACAGCTGTAAGACAGAGAAGCACACCACATGTAAACACATCAATCAGACTGGCGTCCCTGGCTCATGGGGGTCTCTTCTGGGCTCCATTCCTGTGCTGATGCCTCTGAGACCCTGGAAAGTTCCCAGGCCCTGGTTGGGGGTGGATAAATGAGAAGCCAGCTTACACTAGGACCTGAAAAACATGACCAGGGACCTTTAAGGGCCCAGGAAGCTGCTCAGGTCATTATGAATTTCCCTCCTTTGTAAAAAAGTAAAGCAGTAAGTGTCAGGGTGGGCAGCTGAGGGGGTAGGGGGGTGGAGGTACTCACAGAATAAAAACAACAACAAAACCCAAGACCCAACAATAATCTTTCTGTACCTTACCAGGAGACATGACTGCAAAAACACTTGCTTAACTAAACAGAAGGTTTCTTCATTGAACCAAAGGAACAACAGGCCCTTTCAGTGATGCTGGGCAGAGGGACAGAAAGGTCGTTTGGCGGTTTGATTACAGTTCACATGGAGCTGCATTAACATGATGGTAGGTCAGCAAACATGGGTTTTCATAATGGGGTTTTCGCTGGGGGACACCAGCATCTTGGGTTTTATTTTCCCCTCAATGTGGGGAGAGGGTGTAGAGCTGTAACTGGGCAAGGCTTTCCCACCTCAGCAAGTAAACCACGAGTTGTCCCCACGGCAGACAAGAGATGGCAGCAAAAACACATCTCAGAGTCCTCGCAGGGACCACGGCTGAGAGCCGCTGTGACAAAGGGGACTCCCTGCAGTTCAGTGGCACTGACTCCTGGGTCCAGAAATGAAACATCATCTCATAGAAAGGCATCCTTGCGTACCCTCCCCTCAGGGTATTTCACACCACTGGACGGCTGTGGGTCCTGATGGGCTTGGTCCAAGTCTAGGCTTGGTGACGTGTGAGATCTCCCTCCCCACATGAAGGAGCCTATGCTGAAATCTCTGCAGTCTCCCAGGAACATCAAGTGGCAAAGGATAACTGGGTCCCAGGGTGTCCTTTCCTTCTGCCATCATGTTGGGGAACATCCACACGGCCATGCCCCAAGGGTGAAGGATGCTGCTGAATTGGATACGGCTAGATGCTTGAGTCTCCTTTCCCGGGCCCTCTCCCCAGTAATCCTGTCTCTGCAGCTGCTTTAATTGAATGATGATTTGGAATACTTCTGCCTAGACAGCCCTGAGTCTAACCCCGGCAGCACTGGAAGATGCAACCCGTATGTGCTGGGCACTCAATTCCAGGGCTGAACATGCAGCGTGGCCCATGTTAGACATATTGGAGAGTCATGAAGCCCCCGCAGGGAATTTTCTGGGGCAAGAAACTAAAATCTCAGGTTTTCTGGAGAGATGCCCTATCCTATAACTGTACATTCTTCTGCACAGAACAGGGTACTTAACCTTTTTATTGTTTGGGAAGAATAACCTTTCATATCCTGTAAACCTTGAGATGACCCTCAGGGGCGTCCACAGAGGAAGGAACTGTGGAAGAAAAGCTTTGAGAAGCCAGCCGAGCTCTCACTGCTGGCTGGGTCATTTCTCCTGGAGCAGAAGAACTGGAGACACAGGGGTGAGGGAAAATGTGGTAGCAGAAGAGCTTGGAAGCCGTCTTCCATGAGGGCATGAAGAAACAGTCCCAAGACATCCCAGCTTTGTTAAAATACAAAGAACCCAGGGTTACTATCCTTGAGGCTTTTGATCTCTGTGATCTGCCACCCCCAGCAGATTTGGGGGAGGAGGTGTCGGCTCTCCAGCGAAAAGAGGACCTCTGTCAGGCCGTGGCTGGGTTCAGGAAAGCACAGGACTTCCAGATCCTGGAAGATGCAGACAGGGGTCTCCGTGGGTTTAACCAGGGGCCCACAGTGTTTTCTGACCTCTGAAAACCAGGGCCTGCCATGAAGTGTTGATACCTTCATCAACACTAAATTACAAAGAATAACTTTGGAGGAAATGTAGGAAGCACAATGGTTGTCTATTTAAATAGAAATTCCTGGGAAAAAAATTTAATTAGCTCTTTCAGGCCCACCAACCTGAACCCATTAATTAAAAGGATTTGAGGCTGTTGCTTAATGGACTTGAACGTGACCTAGGTTTAATTATATGTGAATAACGACTTGCACCACCTCTTCTGCCCTGCTGGCATCCGAATATCTCAGTACACATAAACGCTTCGGGCTAACTGTCCGAAGCCTCACCATTTCGGAATGAAGCTAAAGCAAACACCACACAATTTCTTGGCAATGAGTCTTCTCGTCACACTCATTAGGATCGCAGGAAACGCATTACTTGGAAACACCAAAATAACAGTCCTTTGTCACTTCTGTCAATAAGCAACCTTCCTTCTTGCTTCCTGTGTACCCACTACCTGTGACATCATAATGGAGCAGATGTATTAAGGCCGAATAGCACACTTGAGGTTTCAATGACAGCAGGATAGGCAGAGAGTTCACCACCGCCAAAGGGTATTCCATGAACTCTTCAGGGCTTACGGCCTTGCCACACACTGGTACCTTAACCACACTAAATTGCTTTTCCCCTAATTCCCCACTCCCCCCATCATTCTGCTTGCTTACAGATTTCCTCAGCACGGGGGCAAGAGAGACACTGCAAGAATTCATTCAAGTGCAGAGGCTTAACTCCTCAGGAGGACACAGCATATTTTATTGATACTTCATCTGGCTTGCAGAAGCCTAGAATGTAATGAGGATCTTCCAGACGACGGGACATCTCCATGGCTGCAGCTCTGACTCCATCAACGAGCATTTCTAAATAGAGCTTTCAATTACATGCTCTAAAATTTAACTTTTGAACTAACACTAAGGAAGAGAGAACAGATGAAGCTCGAGGACTGGGAAGTCCCTACATGTCGACAAAGAGTTTATTAGTTAAACCACTCAGATTTTCACTCTGTGTGAAAGGAGAAGCGAAATTGTTTTAAACCCCTAAGTGGAGTAGTTCACAAAGAATCCTTTAGAGGTGGATAAAGGTAGTTCTGAGATCAGGACAATGTGGTGATTAAGAGCACAAGCTCTGGAGTCAGGCTGACCAGGTTTCCAACCCTGACTGCATCATCTCCTAGCTCTGTAACTGTGGGAAATTGTTATATGCTTCTCTCTATGGAGTATCTGAGGCCCACTGATAATGCATTCTCTCTAGCTATGCGCCTTAGTCAAGGTAACACAAGCTCTCTAAACCTGTCTTTTCATGTGTAAAGTGGTGAAAGTAATCGTGCTTTATTTCATGGGGCTGCTCTGAGGATTCAAGGAGATATTTCATGGAAAGGATGTATTCCAAGGTTTGGCACTTAGTAAATGTTCACTAAACGCTAGTCCAAGTTCAAACCCAGGTTCAACTTTACATGCAGCACATACACGACCTTTTGTTGTCTAGCTGGAGTTTGCTGTGCAGGAGTTGTGGTTGTGGGGTTTTACAAGAGGTTCAGCACCTGCTTACGTGTATTTATGAGTTCTCTGTGTTTCATAAAATACCTGGATTAAAAAACAGGGAGAGGCATCCATCAGAAGACAGAGAGGACACAGTTTACAGTGACTGCCTCAAGCAAAGGCCAGTCCCATGAGCCACATGCTATGGCTAAGCCTTGCTTGTTTATTCTCCAGGTAATGATTGGGAATCATTACATTTTTGATAACAGGTATCCCTTTTATATCTTTAAAAAGAATCCTACAAGGCTGCGTATGGAGAAAACCTATTTTCCTGATAGGTGATGCTTTTGTGTAGCCGGCAGGGTCCCCTCTCTGGACATCTGTCTTCCCTTTCGTACCCAGCGCTGATGGAAGAGAAAACAGTGGCCAAAATCTCTCCCATATATGTTTGGCTACACCCTCTCCTGGGTTCCGTAAGCCCCTAACCTACCCTACCTGAAGACTGTCTCCTAAAGGTCTAGAAGGGCAAAGGAGACAAAGACAATGATACTTGCCAAGCACGTTTAAGCACCCCGGGTTAGTCAGTATCGGCCACTAAATCAAAGGTCATTTCCTGGAGACCAGCTCACTGGGTAGACTCCCAGGCTATGTCCACTATGTAAGTGGCCTTCCAGAAACAAAACAAAACATCCAACAACAACATCAAGATCACAAGTCCCTGCCCTTCAGTCATTTGGAAGCCCCAGCACAAAATCCAATGCATTGCAATTTGCATTGCGAAAGCATATTACCCTGGAGATGGAGAGGAAGAGAACATTCAGATACATGTACAGCTGTACATGCCGACCATCTTCAGCTGTGCCAGCATGCAATGTCTGCTACGAAGAGGCAGCTCAGGTGCACCTCCCCGCAGGAGCTGTCCCGGACCACCACTCTCACCCCAATAGCTCACCAGGCCTACCCCTCAGCTCTTGACGGTGTGGAGGCATCACAGGCCTGGCTCACCACCGCAGTTAAGATGTGCTCTAACGGTACTGAGGTCAGAGGACTTTAGTGATGAAGAGAGAATTCATGGAAAGGGCTTAACACAGGGAAGGGTTAGAGAGATGGTCGTTACTGTTGCAGTAAAACCCCACGGTTGTGCCCCATGATAATATGAATGGGTTGTGTGTATTTGGGTGTCAGGAGGTGCCTTTGTTCTTGAAACCTCATTCGGAGAGGTTAATAAATCCTATGTCCATAAGTTCTACATTCTATATACATATGTGGGAGGGGAGGGGGGAGGATGGAGTGTGTGTGCATGTGTAAGTGTATGCTAATTAGTTTCCATCTAGTTGGAATGGGAATGGCTTTTGGGACCTGTCACCAGGATGAAACCTGCTTGACCGCCTGAGGTTGAATACTGGAGGACCTGAAGTAGACACGGAAGACGGGTTGCTCCAGCAGTAAGCTCACTCTTGGGCTCTCTCTCATAGGGCCTGAGGATGTGGGCAACACCATGGAGAGGCAAGCACGGGATATCAGAAGGACAGTGTCCCTTGTTGGGGAGATCTTGGAGATCTAGGCACATGATTCAGGAGAAAAGCAAGAAATCACTCCTAGGGGCACGGCCCCAAGATCCCAGATGGCCAATGGATTTCTTCTGGACTCCTTCCTTCATTCTTCATCCGGTTATCTGAAGGCCTCTGCAAGCCAGGCCCTGAGAAGGTACCTGTCAACAGAATAAGCAGAGCCCCTGGGTTCTCATGGAGCTGCACGAGGGTCTGGTCCACTGGTGGTGGCTGCCTTGGTCCCTGGGTTTTTGACAGAGCTTGTGCAACCACATCCAAGCTTGTGGGAAGAGCCACAGTTGATAGGGGAGGTCAGACCCGAGGACGGAATGGAACAGGGACAGTGGGACATACTGCCTATCTTCCAACCCTGCCCGGGCTTCTAGGCGAGTCCCACAGCTAAGCTGCTGAGCTGATGTGGGAGGGAAACAGGGCCGCCATGCCCCATCCAAGGGCTGGAGGGGGAAATGGCCAGGATTGTGGGCAGAAAAGGTGTGTGGCAACAGCAGGGGCGGCAGCTACTTCTTCCTCTGCTTCCCCACAGCCAGATTTGTTCTCGGCTCTCACTGTCAGAAAGGGAGGTACCCGTCTGGGCTCACTCCAAATGCTCCTCCAAGCCAGCGTGGGATGTGGAGGCCCCAATCTGTAAGGAAATTCCCCTGGTGAGACTGGGGGAGGTGGGCACAGGGAGGGGAAAATTAGGAAGGAGAAGAAAGAAATCACATTAAGAAAGATGGGGACTGAAGCCAAAAATAAAAACACGCCACCCCAGTTCAGTCCTTATTTGCTGGCTTAAATTGCTCTCCTGGAGTTTGCTGGCCCGAATGACTCATCTCTGGTCTTTTGATAAATAATGAATTCATCCACATTTATATGCCTATTAGAAGAGTCTTCTACGTTCAACAACTTCCCAGCTCCTGAGCCCCGACTTGAGGGTTACACTGAACCCCTCCCATCTCCATTAGGCTCTGTGGGCCCTTCACGAGGGCCCCTCCTCGCACGCAGGGACACAATTCTGCTGAGGAGACAGTTTTCTGGGCTCGGTGCAGAGATTCAAAGATGGCTTATAAAGAAAAACAATAAGTCAAAAGCTGATTATGTATCAATCATTTCAATATGTCTCTAGACCTTGAGGGGCACCCGACTTGCTTCCCTCTCCCGTAATGAGTCTGAGGAACGTGCAAATCCCATTCATTCCACACACATTTGCTTGTCTGCATCCCCAGTTCTGCACTTCCAATGTGGATTGGAATAAATCACTTTTAAATTGCTCAGAGACACGGAGGAAGGAGTTAGAGGCAGAAAGGGTTATAAATGCAAAGCCTGACTAGTCTTTAGTGTCATTATTCCAAAGCCCAAGATTCATTCATTTCAATGCTGCCGCTGTGTTCTGGGTAGAAGGGGAGCCTCAGCAATACACTGCCTCATTTTCATCATATTTGCCGACCGTTGTAGCCATAATTCTACTCGAAGTCCTTTCATATATTCTAGTCCTCTGAACAGGAAATACAAAATGGGATCAGTGACATCCTCTGAAAGTACCAGTTTTTCAAGGATAAACAGATGACCCTTACACTCAAAAAAAAAAAAAATTCCAGCTGTAATCCTTGGGTAATCTCAGGCAATCTCCGACCTCATGGCCTGGGCCTTCCAGGCCTCTTCTCTGTTGCTCTCCACACATCAGGGACCTTAGCTTCGGCCTATCTCTCATTCTCTGACAGAGTAAGTGGACGGTCTGTAAGTGTTCTTTTAAGATTTGTAAGGCTGAGTAAGACATTCACACAGCTGGGTTAATAGAAGCGTGTGGGACAGTGATGACAGAGAAGCAGCGTTGCCAACTGTAATTTTAAAGGAGCTTGAGATTTTCCCACAGTCTGATGTGGGGAAAAGTAAAATGAAGCAAAAATAGCATTACGGGTAAAGAGCCTGGACTTTCGGGCTTCCCTGGTGGCGCAGTGGTTGAGAGTCCGCCTGCTGATGCAGGGGACACGGGTTCGTGCCCCGGTCCAGGAAGATCCCACGTGCCACAGAGCGGCTCGGCCCGTGAGGCATGGCCGCTGAGCCTGCGCATCCAGAGCCTGTGCTCCGCAACGGGAGAGGCCCCAACAGTGAGAGGCCCGCGTGTCGCCAAAAAAAAAAAAAGAAGAGCCTGGACTTTCTAATGATTCTAAAATGTCCTCCTAAGACAGAAGGTGAACGTAAAGCAAACAGTGCAAACCAGGGAGCACTGGTGATGGCCACCGTCATCAGACTGCAGAGGACCTTGTAAGGAAATCAAATCTTAATGAAACAAACTTTCTCTCCTTGGGCCAAGGAGAGAAATTTATCATGTGAATTTATTCATGGCATCACACACATGACTTGGGAGGTAGAAATGATCAAATGCATTTACCTATGGAGAAACTGAGGCAGAAAGGAGATGCAGATTCTTTTGGCTTGTGACTATCCACTGAATGTTCTTAAGTTTGTATGTTTATTCATGAGGCTGGTACGTCGTGGGCCTAGCAGAGCTTTCACTTGCAATAAAAAAATCACGAGTCAGGGTTACCTCCAGGGTGACCTCAGTGACAATGGACAAGCCCAACTCTCTAGTCTATTTCCTCCTGTTTAGAATAAAGTTAACAGTAATACCTGCCCTGCCTACCTCTGAAGGCTGTGGTGAGAAGTAAACAGGACAGCATCTATGAATATGCTTTCCCACACTGAAGTATCACACACACTGATCAGAAATGCTACAATGCCACAGAAGCTCATCCGTTCGGCCTCTCCCCTCTACCTGGACAATGAAAATGCAGTCAGGACCAGAGCTGAACAATTCACTGTTGATAATGCAGGGCAGGGATCGTGCTTGTTTTCTTTGCCCCTGTATCCCTTGCATGATGCCTGGCACATAGGAGCTGCTCGAGACATATTTGTAAAATTCACACATAAGAGCTTATTAACAAACATGAATTTTCATGATATGTATTACAATCCTCTTCACTTATCTAAATAACTTACTGAAGTCTGATATATTTGTCTAATACCTGTGATGTTATCGTGTTCAATACCATAACCCTTTTAATGGATTGCAGTATTTTACCTAAAGAACGTGTAGCATTTAGAGGCAGGAATCAGGAATCTATGCGATAAACATGTGAAAAGGTGCTCTGCCTCACTCATAGAGAAAGGTAACAAGCACTGACTGATAGACTGTATAATATCTGAGGAGCCATTTTGGCTATAGCCTTTAAAACTAAAAATGTATATATCCC